TTGTCGTACAGGTTATCACTTGTTTGGTTAGAGTTACTCTAATATATTTTATGCTATTTGTGGCTATTGTGAAGGGTGATGTTTCTCTGATTTCTTTCTCAGCCAATTTATCATCTGTGTAAAAGAGGGCTACTGATTTCTTTTTTTGAGTTAATCTTGTATCCCACCACATTACAGAAAGTGTTCATGAGTTGAAGAAGTTCCTTGGTAGAATATTTGGTGTTGCTTATGTAAACTATCATATCATCAGCAAATAGTGAGAATTTGACTGCTTCTTTTACGATTTTTTATTCCCTTGATCTCCTTTTGTTGTCTTACTGCTCTAGCTAACAACTCAAGAACCATATGGAATAGATATGTAGAGAGTGGACAGCCTTGTCTTACTCCTGATTTCAGTGGGATCAATTTGAGTTTCTCTCCAATTAGTTTGATGTTGGCAATATGCATGCTGTATATTGCCTTTATTTTATTTAAGTATATTCCATGGTGGATGATTTTTGTGATGTGTTCTTGGAATAGGTTAACCAGTATTTATTGAATATTTTTGCATCAACGTTCATGAGGGGGATTGGTTTGTAATTCTCTTTCTTAGTAATATCTTTGTATTGTTTGGGTATCAGGGTAATTGTAGCCTCATAAAAAGAGTTTGGCAATGTTCCTTCTGTTCTATTTTGTGGAACAATTTGAGGTGTATTGGTATTAGTTCTTCTTTGAAAATCTTGTAGAATTCTATGCTAAAGCCATTTGGTCCTGGGCTTTTTTTTTGTTTGGAAGGTTTTGATGACTATTTCTTTAGCAGTTATAGGCCTATTGAATTTGCTTGTCTGGTCTTGATTTAATTTTGGAAAGTGGTATTTATAAAGAAATTGTCCATTTCTTTTAAAGTTTTCACTTTTGTGGAGTATAGGTTTTCAAAATATGTGCTGATGATTCTCTGGATTTTCCCCATGTTTGTTGTTATGTTACACTTTTCATTTCTGATTTTGTTAATTTGGATATTCTCTCTGTGCCTTTTGGTTAATTTGGATAAAGGTTTGTCTGTTTTGTTGATTTTCTTTAAGAACCAATTCTTTGTCTCATTGGTTCTTTGTATTGTTTTCTTTGTTTCTATTTTGTTGATTTTAGCTCTCAATTTGATTATTTCCTGCTCTTGAGTGACTTTGCTTATTTTTGTTCTAGAGTTTTCAGGTGTTCTGTTAACTCACTAGTGTGAGATTTTTCCAGTTTGTTTATATAGGCATTTAGTGCTATGAGCTTTCCTCTTAACACTGCTTTCATTGTGTCCCAAAAATTTTGGTATTTCATTGTGTGGTCATTTTTGTTGAATTTTAGGAAGTCTTTAATTTTTTTTTTCTTTATTTCTTCTCTGACTTATTTGTGACTCAGGTGAGCATTGTTTATTTTCCATGTGTTTGTGAGCTTTTAAAAATTAGTGTTTCTGTTGAATTCTGAATATAAGACATGGTGATCCAGTAAGATACATGGTGTTATTACAACTTTTTTGTATCTTTTCAAGTTTTCTTTGTTACCTAGTAAGTGATCAATTTTTGAGAAGTTTCCATGAGGTGCTGAGAAGAAGGTATATTTTTTTTTATGTTTGGATGGAATGTTCTATAGATGTCTCAAAATCCCATTTGAGACGTAACATCTGTTAGTTCCCTGATTTCTCTGTTAAGTTTCTGTCTGGCAGACCCGGTCAGTGGTGATAGTGGGGTGTTAAAGTCTCTCACTATTAGTGTTTGGGGTTTAGTGTATGGTTTAAGCTTTAGTAGTGTTGGTTTTGTTTTGTTTTGTTTTCATATGACAGTGCCTGTGTATTTGAGGCACAGATGATTAGTATTGCGATTTCCTCTTGATGGATTTTTCCTGTGACAAATATAAAATGTCTTCTTTTCCCCTTTTGATTGATTTTTTGTTTCAAGTCTATTTTGTTACATATTGGGATAGCTACACCAGCTTGTTTCTTAGTTTTTTTTTAATTATTATTATTATTTGATTCTTTTTATTATTATTATTATTTTTATTGAAAAAAAATTTTCGCCTCCTCCCATCCTCCCATTTCTTTCCCCCTCCTCCCACTTCTCTCCCCCTGCTCCCACTTCTCTCCCCCTCCCTCTCCAGTCCAAAGAGCAGTCAGGGTTCCCTGCCCTGTGGAAAGTCCAAGGTCCTCCCCCCTCCATCCATGTCTAGGAAGGTGAGCATCCAAACTGGCTAGGCTCCCACAAAGCCAGAACATGAAATAGGATCAAAACCCAGTGCCATTGTCCTTGGCTTCTCATCAGCCCTCATTGTCTGCCATATTCAGAGAGTCCAGTTTTATCCCATGCTTTTTCAGTCCCAGTCCAGCTGGCCTTGGTGATCTCCCAATAGATCAGCCCCACTGTCTCAGTGGGTGGGTACACCCCTCGTGATCCTGACTTCCTTGCTCATGTTCTCCCTCCTTCTGCTCCTCATTGGGACCTTGGGAGCTCATTCCGGTGCTCCAGTGTGGGTCTCTGTCTCTATCTCCATCCATCGCCAGATGAAGGTTCTATGGTGATATGAAAGATATTCATCAGTATGGCTATAGGATAGGGCCATTTCAGGTTCCCTCTCCTCAGCTGTCCAAGGAGCTAACTGGGGACATCGCCCTGGGCAACTGGGAGCCCCTCTAGGTTCAAGTCTATTGCCAACCCTAAGATGGCTCCCTTAATTAAGATATATACTTCCCTGCTCCCATATCCACCCTTCCTTTATGCCAACAATCCCATTTCCCCATCCTCCCCTTCTCACTTTTCTCTCCCCATCTCCCCATCCCACCCCACCTCCAAGATCCCAATTTTTTGCCCGGCAATCTTGTCTACTTCCCATATCCAGGAGGATAACTATATGTTTTTCTTTGGGTTCACCTTCTTATTTAGCTTCTTTAGGATCACAAATTATAGACTTAATATCCTTTATTTATGGCTAGAAACCAATTATGAGTGAGTACATCCCATGTTCATCTTTTTGGGTCTGGCTTACCTCACTCAAGATAGTGTTTTCTATTTCCATCCATTTGCATGCAAAATTCGAGAAGTCATTATTTTTTTTTTCCCACTGAGTAGTACTCTAATGTGTATATATTCCACACTTTCTTTATCCATTCTTCCATTGAAGGACATCTAGGTTGTTTCCAGGTTCTGGCTATTACAAATAATGCTGCTATGAACATAGTTGAACAAATGCTTTTGTAATATGATGGAGCATCTCTTGGGTATATTCCCAAGAGTGGTATTTCTGGGTCCTGGGGTAGGTTGATCCCGAATTTCCTGAGAAATCTCCACACTGATTTCCAAAGTGGTTGCATAAGTTTGCATTCCCACCAGCAATGGATGAGGGTACCCCTTCCTCCACAGCCTCTCCAGCAAAGGCTATCATTGGTGTTTTTGATTTTAGCCATTCTGACAGGTGTAAGATGATATCTCAAAGTGTTTTTTTTTTTGATTAGAAAATATTTTACCCTTAGGTGATGTCTGTCTTTGAGGTTGAGGTGTGTTTCTTGTATGCAGCAGAAGGAGGGATTCTGTTTTTATATCCAATCTGTTAGCCTGTTTCTTTTTATAGGTGAGTTGAACTCATTTATATTAAGGGATATTAATATTATATTACGGGGTATTGATAGTAGCTGCTAGTTCCTGTTATTTTAGTTTTCCTTGTTGGTAATGTGTGTGTGTGTGTTTCCTTCTTTGGGATTTGCAGCTGTGAGATTATGTATTGTCTGTGTTTTTGTGGTTGTAGCTGACTTCCTGGCATTGTGGTTTTCCTTCCAGTCTTTGTGTAGGGCTGGGTTTGTGGCTAGGTTTTTGTTAAATCTTGCTCGGTTATGGAATATCTTATTTTCCACCCATTTTTTCCTCTGATTGGTATAGGTGGTATCATGTCTCTGGTGATCAGTCTTCCAGGTGGCACTGGATCCAAGGGTCAGATGGTTACTCCTTGATGTGGAGTCTGGGACCACAGTTCCTGTCACGCTGGAGGTCGCTCTGCAATTCCAGTGGTCATTCAGGCCTGCTCTCACAGAGGTCATTTGCTTGGCCTACTTTTAAGGAGGTCACTGCCTCAGTCCTGGTCCTGTGGAGTTGCTGTCTATGGTCTTCTCACATGGACATAACTGGCTAGGGCCTGGTCCTGCTTAGGTTGCTGGCCCAGGCTAGCACCCAGAGAGGTCACTGGCTTGGGCCTGCTCCTGTGGATATACCTGGCTAGTGCCTGGTACTGTGGAGGTCCTGGTTCTGGCCTGGCCCCGGCCTGTTCCCACAGAAGTCACTGCCTTGGGCCTGCTCCCGAGACATTTGCTCATATCTTTATTCTTGAAATAATCCCATTTTGAGAAGAATTTTTCTTTGGTGAAATTGTTTCCTTTTTATTATTTTGTTTTGAATGACTAATATTCTTTGAGACTCTACAATAATAGGGTGGCAATAGTTAATACTAATGCGTCTAATATACATATGTACATATGTATGTTTCTGAAATGAAATTTCAAGTGTTTCCTCAGAAATAAATGTTGGACATTTCAATTAATTGATAGTCTTGTAAATTTTTGATTTTTCAGTTGATCAAATAAGACCTGGTTTGTCTTTGCTTCCCCTTCATTGCATAGTTCCTTTTTAGCTATTCTGAGACCAATGACTAAGTCACTTCCTTTGACCTTGCTCTTCATTCCTTTCCACCTTCATCAGAATATTACTATATTTTTTCAACTTTGGAAGAATTTTATGATAATATTTTTATTATTTACTTTCTGATTCTATTTTGCATATTTTGATCCGAGGTTTGGTCTTATAAAGTTGGAATGAAGAATCCTTGTTTACCGAGAAATTTTATCCAACTTTACCCTTTGATATTTTAGTAGTTGCCTTTTGATTGCTATGAATATAATGATGACATCTTCAGGGTTCACATTAAATAATATCACTATATCACACAAAACACATGCATATACGTAGATAGGCTTATATTGTTTTATTCTTTTATAGGAGAGTCCAAAAATACTGATGCTCCTTATATGTATGCCATAGAGGTAGAGGAAGGCACATCTGTGGAATGTGGCATAGCATTTTCTCCTGTAGAAGTAAGTTCAGTTTTCTGTTACTCATGTTATGGAATACAAGTGGGATTACAGATTTGCTATTTTAGGAATCAATTAGATATCACCTAAGTTTTGCTTTGAATTGGTATTATTCTAATATGTGACTATACATAGCTATAACTTTAAATTAAGTAATCAGTAAATATATCTAATTCATGGTGAACTATGATTGTCTTTGGTGTACTTACTACAAAATTAGAAGTATGCTATGTGGTAAAGAAATGATAGGGTTCAACTAATGAGAAAACCACTTATATTCAAGCTGCCTTGTGTTTTATAATTGGTTTTGAAGGTGATTCTTGGAATCATTATCTGAAATCCCCCAAAATGGTATGAGCAATTAAAAGATGCCATTTTTATAATGCTTAGTTAATATTGTTCCCTTGATGCCCAATGTTATTTTTAAACTGGAAAAACCTTCAATACAAAAAGAAAGAACTTTTATTAGAGTGTGACTGTAAAAAAATGGGTATCTCTGCCTAAATTTAATAAGTTGTAGTATGCTTTTTTCAAATTTCTGAACTATAAATGATAAGGAGACTTTTTTATTTAAAGGAATTTATTCTTATTTGCTTTGGTGTTTTGCCTCCACTTATGTTTGTGTGTGAATGTCAGATCTTGGAGTTACAGACAGTTGTTAGGTACTATATGGGTGCTGGGAATTGAACCCAGGACCCCTGGAAGAGCAATCAATATGCTCTTAACTGCTGTGTCATCTCTCCAGCCCCTGGAAGCTTCTTTTTGTCAATCATAGTTCAATATTTATACATCAAAAGTAAAACAAAATAAAACAAATAAACAAGAAGCAATATAGTCAAATTACTTATATCAGTAAGTACAGAAAATGATTTACTATGTGAATGCAATACTAATTGCCCCCACCCCCCCCACTTCCGTCATCTACCTTGACATGTCTGCTGAGTGTTGTCATTATGTGGGTCATGTTTAGGCAGATACATTGTTTAGATATCATGAATGCTATTTGCCTTATGTCTAGAAACACTATTTAACAGCCATATAAGTTCGCTGACACTTAAAATCTTCCTAACATCCGTATTCCCTGATCCTTAGGTATTGTGGTGGCCTTGTAGATGTACCAATTGTGAGAATGGTCACCCCATTGTCACTTATTCTCTGAATTTCTACAAGCTGTGGCTCATTTTAGTTGCCTACATCTGATGCAAAGAGCTTCTTTGATGAGGGCTAAACATCATTATGCTCATCTTTGGGTATAAGGATAAATATTTTAAATATAGTTATACATTATATTGGCTTAGGAAACGGCACTTGTAGGTTTGCTTCTAGATCTTATGACCTCTCTTACCATGGGTACTTGTGTAATTTGCAATACCAGGCAGGAATTCCCTCCTGTTAAACCTACCTTAAGCCCAATTGGACAGCTGTTTATTACCCCTTTTAAAATAGTGCCTCTCTTGCATCATTGGGAATCAAACTGGTCTAGTCTTTGTTGTGGTTTAGTAGACTTTACCTCTGGATGGGACTATTGATTACTTTTCTCCCTTAGCAGCTTTTATAGCATCTTTTCCTATTATAAGAGGAAGTCCTCAGGGAGGAGACGTCCAGCTCAGTTCCAGCTCCATTCCTTCAGGTTCTGTGTCAAGTGTGCTCTGTCTTCAGCAATAGCTTCTTACCTTTAAGTTATGGGAAGGAACCAAGGGCAATAACAATCACTTACATTATTTTGGGAGTGTCTCGGATAGCCCCTAACCAACAACTTGAGACGAGTTTCTCCTTACCTTGAATTAAATTTTCTTTTAGTATATGATTCTTAGGAGAAGTGTTGTAGCTCCCCCCTGCATGTGTGATGTTAATGTTTTCATTTGTATACTCATACATACACACATATGTATTTTTAAATGCACTTATAAAACAGTTTCTTTATGATATTTTCAAACTTCCTACTTCCTAATATTAGTTAAGGGAGATCACTCATGGGGACTAGAGAGATGATCTGCTCAGGAGTTTATAGTACTTGTTGCTTTTGCTGAAGAAACCAGTTCAGTTATTCTCAGCACACACATGATGGCTCCTAAACATCTTTAATTCAAGTACTAGGGCATCCAGCACACCCTTCTGGCTTCTAGTGACACCCAACACACAGGTGATACACATACATACATGCAGAATAAACATTCATACACATAAAATAAAGAAGTAGAAATAATTTAAGAAGGAAGATGACTCATTCAACCCGGAGTTCAATATGAGAAATAGCTATATTCATTTCTGTAGTAGCTATGTTTTCATTTTCAGCCGCAGTGCAAGACTGTTCCCCTTGTTCATCCTTGCAAGCATGACAGATCATGATCTGTCACTTAGCTATTTGGCAGATGTAAGATGGAATCTCAAAGTATTTGCATTTCATTTATGACTAAGGATTTTGAACATTTCTTTGTGTTTCTTAGACTTTTCCAATCCTTTTATTGAGAATTTTCTGTTTAGATCTGTACCCCATTTTTAATTGGATTATTTGATTTTTTTGATGTCTAGTTTTTGAGCTCTTTATATATTTTGTATATTGGTTCTCTCTCAGATGTAGTTAGTAAAAATCATTTCCCCTTTTGCAGGCTGCTGCTTTGTCCAAATGTTAGAATCCTTCACCTTAGAGAAGCTTTTCAGTTTCATAAGGTCCCTTTTGTAATTGTTGATATTACTGCCTGCACTATCAGTGTATTTTTAAAACTAAGTCTTCTCCTGTGCCAATACACTCAAGGCTGTTCGTTATTTTCTCTTCTGTTAAGTTCAATATATCTGGTTTTATGTTGAGGTGTTTGATACATTTGGACTTTTGTTTGGGGCAGGGAAACAAATATGTATCTAGTTGCGTTCTTCTATATGGCAAAATCCAGTTTGACTAGCATCATTTGTTAACAATGCTGACTTTTATCCAGTGTATATTTCTAGCTTCTTTCTGAATACTCAGGTGTTCATGTGTGTGCGGATTTATGTCTAGGCACCTTTTTCAGCTGTCAGATCACATCCTGCTTCCGCTGTGGTTTGCACAGGACTGGGAGGAATCAATTTCCTCCTTCCCAGAATTCTTGTTCTCATTGCATCACCTCTACTTCCTGTCTGGTTTTCCTGCCTATACTTCCTGCCTGGCCAATCAACGTTTATTTAAAACATGATTGACAGAATACAGAAAAATACTGTATTGTACTGAGAGTGTTGACAGCCTTTTCTTGTTCTTGATTTTAGTGAAATTGCTTTGAGTTTCCCTCCACTTACTCTGATGTTGGCTATAGCTTGTGGCAAAGTACCTTTATTCTTTTTAGATATGATCCTTATGTACCTAATTTCTCCAGGACTTTTGTCATGAAGGAGGATAGGGTGTTGTCAAAATCCGGTTCTGAATTTAATGAGATATTCATATGCTTTTTTATTTCAGTTTGTTCATGTGGTAGATTATGTATATTGATTTTTCATATATTGAACCATTCCAGAATTTCTGGTATGAAGCCTATCTGATTATGGTGGATAATCTTTTTGATGCATCCTTGGATTTGGTTTCCAAGTATTTTATTGAATATTTTTGCATCTATGTTTATAAGTGAAATTGTTCTGCAGTTCTCTTTGCTGGGCCTCTATATTGTTTGGGTATCAGAGAAACTGTGGCCTTATAAAATGAATTGGGCAGTGTTCCTTCTGTTTCTATTTTGTGGAATAATTTGAGAAATATTGGTATTAATTCTTCTTTGAAATCCGATAAAACTCTGTTCTTACGCCATATCTGTGCTTGTTTTTTTTTGGGGGGGGGGACTTTGAAAGAATGCTTGTATTTCTCTAAGGTTTGTAGTTCTTTTTAAATTTCTTTTTTTTTTTACTGAGAAAAGGAAAAAAAAGTTTCAGCCTCCTCCCAGCTTCCCATTTCCCTCCCCCTCCTCTCCACTCTTCTCTCCCATCCTCTCCAGTCCAAAGAGCAGTCAGGGTTCCCTGCCCTGTGGAAAGTCCATGGACCTCCCCGCTCCATCCATGTCTAGGAAGGTGAACATCCAAACTGGCTAGGCTCCCACAAAGCCACAACATGAAGCAGGATCAAAAACCAGTGCCATTGACCTTGGATTCTCATCAGCCCTCATTGCTCGCCATGTTCAGAGAGTCCGGTTTTATCCCATGCTTTTTTAGTCATAGTCCAGCTGGCCTTGGTAATCTCCCAATAGATCAGCCCCACTATCTCAGTGGGTGGGTGCACCCCTCGTGGTCCTGACTTCCTTGCTCATGTTCTCCCTCCTTCTGCTCCTCATTGGGACCTTGGAAGCTCAGTCCAGTGCTCCAGTGTGGGTCTCCGTCTCTATCTCCATCCATCACCAGATGAAGGTTCTATGGTGATATGCAAGATATTTGTCAGAATTGCTATAGGATAGGGTCATTTCAGGTTCCCTATCCTCAGCTGCCCAAGGAACTAACTGGGGACATCGCCTAGGGCTCCTGGGAGCCACTCTGGGTTCAAGTCTCTTGCCAACCCTAAGGAGGCTCCCTTAACTAAGAATTGTGCTTCCGTGCTCCCCTATCCAACCTTCCTTTATCCCAATCCTCCTGTTTCCCCAAGTTCCCCCCATCCTCCCCTTCGCACTTTTCTCTCCCCATCTCCCCTTACCCCCATCCCACCCCACCCCCAAGATCCCAATTTTCTCCCCTGCAATTTTGTCTACTTCCCATAGCCAAGAGATAACTATATGTTTTCCCTTGGGTTCACCTTATTATTTAGCTTCTTTAGATTCACCAATTGTGGACTCCGTGACCCTTATTTATGGCTAGAAACCAATTATGAGTGAGTACATCCGATGTTCATCTTTTTGGGTCTGGGTTACCTCACTCAGGATAGTGTTTTCTATTTCCATCCATTTGCATGCAAAATTCGAGAAGTCATTGTTTTTTAGTGCAGCGTAGTACTCTAATGTGTATATATTCCACACTTTCTTCATCCATTCTTCCATTGAAGGACATCTAGGGTGTTTCCA